TTACCTATGAAATCTATAGTAAGGAGAGTCACTATATGTCTGAGACTTGGGCTTTGCATTCCCCTAGAGATAAGTGTCTGGCAGCCCCACACATTATCAACAGCTCATTTTCTATGGATGTCACTCCTATGGGGCCCTGTAATCAAACATTGGCCAGAAAAACCAAAATATCTATTTCTAGGGTACCCAGTCAAAAGACCCAGCAAAGGGGAAGCATGAAACAAAAAACAGGAACATGTCATCAAAGGAGTGGGACTCCCCTGGGAACTCACCAGTGCTTGTCACCATCAGAGAGTAGCTGCATGGTGAGCTCCCTGTCCAGGAGGAAGGACCAGCCTGAAGAACAGGATTCTCCGGTGGCACAGGGCTCTTCGGTGTTTCTTGCTGTCCCTGCTACATTCCCAAGTATAATTCTGGAGTCTGGCCACAGCAAACAGTGTCCCTGCCAACCCCAGCACTGCTGGCTCTTTCACTTTGCCTAGCGTTTCACTATCCAAGAGCCCTGTTAACCGGAAGCCTTTACAGTACTGTGAGGTCCTGGTGGCTAGCGCCTGCTGGCCAAAGCTGCCAATGGCTGTCTGGGGCTCCAGACATTTTAAAGATCAAAATCAGGGAGAAAAAAATCAAACCACTTTTTGAAGCTGCTCCTCAGCTTTCTTTGGAGTGCAGAGCCTCCTCCCTACCCACCGCCCCAGGCTCTGTCTGACCCAGCCTTTTATGCACTTATGCACCAGAATGTTTCTAAAAATATACATCAGCTTAAAAAAAAAAAAGCCATAGGAGCCACTGTTCCCTTGCAGGCAGTGACTGCATCCTCTTTCTTGGAGGACAGAAGCCTGGGAGAGGAATGAAGCTGCAGGTTACAGGGCTGGGCGGCTTCATGGGTCTTAGTTTTGCCCTAATGCATTCTGGGAGGAATGCCACTCTCTGGAGATAGTGATGCAATTTGGATGGAATGACACCCTGTGGGTACAGTGGTGCACTCTTGGAGGAGTGGTACCATATAGGTACAGTAGTGCATTATGGGTAGAATAGAGCTCTCTGTGTGGAATGTCACTGTCTGGCAGAACTAGCTGAGGATCCCCATGGCAATCATCTGCAACAGAGACCCCAGGAGTTCTAGGCAACAGGCAGATAATAGTTCTAGTGCTGCCACTCACTGCTTGAAGTGACCCTGGGCAAATTATTTAACCCTTCTGAGCCTCAGTTTCTTCATTTTTGAGTTGGGTATAATTCTACCCATCTACTGGGATTTTGAGCATTAGGTTTGAACATATACCCAAAGCTTAAGACTGCCTACGGGGTCAGAGAAGCTGTTGTAGTCATTCTTACCATGCCTGTGTTATTCCTGACTTCCCTTCTCTGGATTGCTCCCCTGGTTAAGCATTCTGTATCAGTCATTCAGCTTTGCTGGGGGGCGGGTAGGAATATGTGGATTGACATGTGTGGGAGTAAAAAAATATTCAATGAGTTCCAAATCTGATGCTTAAGAGATGTCAAGAACCAGACCGAGGGCTACAGAATTGGTTTAGTGATTAAGAGCACTTGTTGCTCTTGTGAAAGACCAGGGTCAAATCCCAGCACCCACATGGTGGCTCACAACCATCTGTCACTCCAGTCCCAGGAGATCCAATGCCAATTCTGACCTCCTTGGATCTCAGGAAAGCACAGATGTGGCACACAGGCATACATGCAGGCAAAACACTCATACACATAAAGTAATAAATCAAATCGTTTAAATTAAGAAAATAATAACAACAAAAGGACCAGACATAACCCTACTGCTCATCAGGGAAGAAGGTAGGGCCCTAAGGTTTAGGGTCCTTAGAAGGACTTCATGCCCACAAAGATTCCTGAACTCCCAGTACTAAGGAGACCATTCTTTCTCACACGAAGTACTTTTTCTGTTAGAGAAAAGATTTCACAGAGGAATCATGGTGTAACAGGTGTCTGAGAAGTGGAGAAATAGAATATGAAACTATCAAAATCTCTGGTCATTTGAAGATCACGAGGGAATTGAGTATCCAGCCCATGCATGTCACTTTCTCTTAGTTGTAGAATGGGAGTTTCAGATTCACCTCATTCCTCTGGAATTGTTAAAAAAAAATCCAAATACCAACTGTATGAATGGAGTTGAAGTTCTGTGTTATTCTAGAATGTTCTTAGGCTGTGCTACCATGGGCCAGTCTTTCTTCTGCCTACCAGTGGAGTTCCAGGGTGGAGTTTGTTTCTGTCATACCTAGCCCTTTTGGCCACATGGCTGGCCATCTGGGAGCATCAGGCATGCAGCACAGAGTTCACCCTGACTAGGCTGGTCAGAGCGATGTTTTTTGCTAAATGCTCATTTCCTCTCATGCAGGTCTGCACAGGTGCTAGAAAATAGGAGTTGCAAGCAGCAGCAGACCCCTGCCTGTCTGCTCAGACAACAGCCTGAGCTCCCCAGCACGCTCCTCCTTTGCCCTACTTCCCAGGCCTCTCTGTAGGTACATGAAAGGATATCAGATTAGGTCACAGTAGATGGGGAAGATCTTTCTAACTTAGCCCTCTACCATCCACTTTTCCTATATATCCTGGCTCCAGTGCATGGAAGAGTGAGGGACTTGGAAAATTCCCTAGGAACTAGCCATGGTGTTATCTAGAGAAGGGGGTCATCAACCAGACAGAACTTCTTGAGTGCTGGCAGGTACCTGGTACTATGCTAGATGCCAGGCACTGGCCTAAGTGGGGCTGTCTCATACTGTATAATTCTGGTGAGATACAGTTAGCAACTTTAAAAGAGGATTGAAAGGTAAGTCAGAGTCCATGGATGCAGGAACCTCTCTCTGGTGGCAGAAAAAATAACATGATTTGAACAGTATGTGGCACGATGAGAGAACCATACAGGGATGGAGGCATGTGGGTGATGAGCAGGAGAGAGTCAGTACCACTGTAGATAGGGCTGTGTTATAGTTCAGTTTCTACTGTTCTGATACAATACTCTGATTAAATAGCAAATTAGGGAAGACAGGGTTTACTTGACTTCTGAGTGTTAGTATTCTGACTCGCCCCTTGAAGACTCACCCAGCATTCTGATGTCATCTTACGTTAAAGCCTCCTCCTTAAAAGGAAAAAAAATCTATCCTCCCTCCCCCCTCTCTCCAGACATAGCACACACACCTCTCTGTCTCTGTCTGTCTCTCTGTCTGTCTGTCTTTCTCCCTTCTCCTTCCCTCCATTCCCTCTACCCTTCCTCCAAAAATAAACTTGCCAAATGGACGTCGAGTCTGCCCTGTGAGCAACCTTCCATTATCTGCCATGATTCTGTGATGTCTCACCTGCCACAGGGCACCTTGGCTCCAAAATCTGCCAAGGCCTCTTGCGTGCCATATTATTACACTGAGTCCAGGTCAAAGTCCATTCCTGGGGAGATGGAAAGGCAGGAACTTAAAGCATCACAGTCATGAATAGAGAGAGACTAAATCCTTGCTTGCTTATGCTTAGCTGACTTTCTAATTCTTATATAGTTTGGGGTTCTGAGTAGGGAATGGTGCCACCCACAATGGCTTGGGTCTTCCAATGTCAGTTAATAATCAAGAAAATCCCTCACAGACATGCTTGTAAGCCGACCTGATCTCGTTATTTCTCAGTAAGAATTCCTTCCCAGAGAAATCTAGGTTGTATCAAGTTGACAGTTAAAATTAACCAATGCAGGCTTCTTACAAAAAGGGCATCTAACTGCATCATAAAGTGCCTCTTGAGTCATAGAATGTGTGGATCAAATAAAGATGGTTGAGGAAGAAGGCATGAGACTAATGTGTTGGTGTCAGGATGGAGGAATCCTGCCTAAGGTCAGAATCACATTGGCCCCGTGGGCAGTGTGAGGTACCAAGCCCTGAGTTAGAGATGTGAACAGAGACTGGGATTGGGGGTAGGAAGGTGCTTGAAGCCCTGGTGCAGCAACTTGTACCTAACATAGTAGGTAAGGTTATGATTGTTTGACTTTTTTCCAACAAATAATATAGGCTTATTCAGAACCTGACATTTATCTGTGCATTGGGATAGAAGTGACTTAGCATGTCAGTGAATGGGAAGGGGGAGTGTGCCTTTGGGGTGGAGTAGCTGGATTCTTACCTGCACTACAGGCTGAGGGGCCATGAGGGATGCTTCTGAAAGTGAAGGTTTAGTCTTCTCTAGAGACTGCAGATATGAAGAAGAAAGAGAGAGGGCCTGGGAGGCAGCTCCGTTAGTGAAGTGTTTGCTGTGCAGGCATGAGGCTCCCGGTTTGTAGTCCCGTGCTGGGAAGGAGACAGGAAGCTCCCTGGAGTTCATTGGCCAGACAGCCTAGTGGAATCAGCAAGTTCAAAGTCCGTGAGAAACTCTGTCTCAAAAACAAGTTAGAGGGTACCCAAGAAATGACATCTGTGGCTGACCTCTGACCTCCACATACACGAACACACACATACATCTGGGCACACATGGATAAGCACACAAATGTACACATGCACACGTGTGCGCACGCACGCGCGTGCACACACACACACACACACACACACACACACACACACACACACACACACACACACAAACTAAGAGATTTACCACCAAAGTATGAATCAGGAAGTCTTAGGAGTGACTGGTACATTTCTGAATACTCCTTTCTTTTTATCCTGAACTGAAAAGCAATGAAAATGTCTCACTGAAATACACTGCAGGCATCTCACAAACTTCTGTCAGAGCCCTGGCTGATGGCAGAGGATGAAGACAAGAGGTTATAGCAAACTTAGAACTTGCCCAATGACACACAGTCCATCAGCTTAGGCTTGGAACTTCTAGATCTCCCTTCTCTATCTACTGTTTCCTAACTCTGTCATAAGCACTAGCCAACAGTTGTGAGCCCAGGGACTGATCTTGGACATAGGAAGAGAGAATTGAAGAGCTGAAGGGAGATTAAAGATGGGGGAGATCTGAGGTAAGCAGAAGGTATGGGACAGAGGCAGCCTTTGGAGGCTGTTTACCAGGCTCTGTTAGAAGCCTTTGGAGACTGTTCACCCAGGCTCTGTTGCAGGAAGTTTCTATCCATCTTACCCAGGGACTGTACCTAATGGAGGCTTCTCAGTGGAAGATTTGGAAAGCCTTCTCCTGACTCCTTCTTCAAGTCCTTGCTAGTGAGCAGGCAAGAGAGTTGACAGGGTAGGTGGGCAGTAGCCCCAGCTCCCTTTCTTGCTGGGGGCATCCATCGTAGAGGCCCCAGGTCCTGCTCTGACTTGGGTTCTTATCGGGCACCTTGGCACCATGGCGGAGACAAGCACTATATAAATGCTAAATAGACAAGGCTGTGCCTGTCTCCAGGATAAATAGACCATCAGTTCCCGCTGTCAGCTCTGCACCTTTTATGAACACAAACATGTCTCCCAAGAAGAGGATGCTGGTCCTGTTCTGTCTCCACTTTTTTTTCTTGCAATTTCTCTCGGTCTTGATAACAAGACACTGGTCTGCTTTTATTTTACTCTCATTTTGGTATTATTGGTTTCTTT